CCATGCAAAGTGGTATATATTCAGGCATAATTTTCACAACCAAGTTTTCTTCATTAAAAAAAAATAATAGAATAAACGTTTTGTAGCAGTACTGTCACTCAGCCGCAGACCACTGCTTATCTCCTATCATTTTTCATGCACATTCACCTTTGTCTGCATTCCAGTAACATCCATCATCAATTTGGATGCTAAACGTTTGTTCGGCTCTGTGTCCTTGCGGTTCCCGGACTACTTGGTCTGGGTTTTGAACCATTTTGCGACACGCCACGAGCGCTTTTTGGAGGAAAGGTGCCTGAGATTAAGGGGAACAAATGCTCCCTGAGAGCCAGGCAGAGCAGCCAGTATTTTGGACGCAGGAGCTCCCGAAAGTTGACCGGCAAAAGCACCAAATGCTCTGGGACTATTTTGGGCATAGGACCATGTGTGCGGCTGATCAGAACTTTGCCCCGGTGGCCTTTCACCTATACTGAATGGATTTAAGCACTATTTGGACAACTTGTGCCCTCAGATTGGGGATGTAGGGCATGTGGGGTTATTAAATGTTTTTATGAAGTTTTGGGATTACTTTTATTTTTTTATGTGTTTTGTGTTTGGCTCTCTGTTCCTGGGAGTTAATTAGCTTATCCGTCTTTAACTCCATTATCTCCCAGGGACAGAGATTCCTGGGAAGGGCTTGTATTGTATTGTTTGGAGACCCTCTGCTGGGTTTTGTGCATAAAAGGCAGAGATTGGCTCATTAAAATCAGTTGTACTCTCAGAACTATGTGTCGTCTAGTTACTGGGAGGGGAAAGGGCTATTCACTATTCAGCATCTGGTTCCAGCTCATGTAGGATTTAGTGGGGAAAGTCCTTGTAAGGACTATAGCTCCCAGGACTGTGTGTCGTCCAGTCTCTGGGAGGGAATAGAGCTAGTCCCCTATCCTGGTCCAGGATGACCCCAGTCAAGACACATCGACTGGGGCAGAAGTGCTGAAGTTTACCCCTGTTCCAATTATGAAGCGATCCTTGGAGAAGGTACCCAGCTGGGGTACAGGGAGCTCTGCTACAACAAGATCCAACTGGGATCAACCCATTGTTATTCTGCCATCTACAAAAATTAATTTAGAATGGTGGACAAAAAGGAAGAATCTCTCTCATTAAAAGGGAACCAAATTTGAAAACTATAACAGATGCAAGTCTTCATGGCTGGGGAGCCCACTATGGTACAGCTTAGAGACAGGGAATATGGTCCATCTACAAGGGAAAGTTGCATTGCAACCTGAGAGAACCGAGAGCTATATCAAAAGCTAGATTGTGATTACTTGTTTATTATTTAGATGAGCTTCTTGAATGTTATCTTACACTCTGTCAAGGTTAATCACCAAAGTTAGAATTGTCTAGAAGACCAAGTGAATTTCAAATTTAAGGCCAAAGTAGCAGACCCAAAGGCATAGCTGACATAGATGGTATGGCTACTTTTGTCTTAAATTTTAAATTCAACTGTTTTGGCCTTAATTTTGAAATTGATTTAGAATTCTCAGAATTGTTTCTTTTAATGAATAAACATGAACGTGTGAATACATTGATACATAGAAAGAGAGAGAAACCATGTCAGTAAACTGTCAGGAAATGCACAGTTGACCTTCTGGTATTTATATTACAATATTTGACTATAATTAAAAAATATATCTAGTATTTTCCTTTCAGTATTGAATAGGTTAAGCCATGTCTTACAGTAGATTGGATTCATTGTTGTGAAAAGCTGAGTCACTGAGAGAATGATTGTGCGATAATTTGGGAAGTAAGATTTGCTCTGTATTGAGGAAATCCTGCCTTTTTGCCAAACAAATGAGTCATATTAAACAAATTATCTTGGTACTGATGTTGGTGGGTGTAGTGGGTCTTGATATATCTGCTTAAATCTGATTTCCCCTGCCAACTACTGAACGTTAAATCTCTTGCTGGTTTCTGGTCAATATCAGTGTAGGCCACTGAAGTTGATATAGCTAACCTCAAGAACATTAGCCAAGACTGAATGCCTGAGGGCCAAATAGAAACGTTATTTGAGAACATGCACACATATTATATCAAACCTTACCTCCAGACAATTAGAACACGACAGTGCAAATTTCAGGAGAAAATTACATCAACTAATAAGCAAAGACTCGCAGGACAAGGTATTCACACTCCAGGAGAACAAAATTACCGAAGATTCCCCCCTGGCACCTTGCTCTCTAGAGGTGATAAAACAATACATTCAGATTTTACAGGAACTGATTGCTCACAACAGGGAGGGATTATAACTGTAAATGATCACTATAGGGTCAGGAACACAAACATATATTCCTAACCCTATAGTGAAAACCCACCATTTAGCTAAATTCAATAGGCAGGCAATTGCCCAGAGCACCGACCTTGCAAAGACGTCTCACTGAGCTGCATTGGAAATGCCTGTGACTGAATAGGCAGAGATAGCCTGGGCAGGGAAAGAAGGGAAGAGCTCGCAAATGCTGTAGATAAGAGAACTGCAGCTTTTGCAAGTTGTTTTAGATATATCCCCAATGAAAAAAAAAGCATTACTAAATGCAATCATATTTTCATTAGGGAATATATTACTTAACACTGATTATTTATTCATTTGGGAAGTTGTGTCCCTTTAATGCTGTACAAGAGATGACAAAGTATACTGTAATTAGAAACAGATGTGGAAAAGCTTGTCAGAAAACCATATAATTCTGTTATATCCAATGTATTATTTAGATACACCAGTGAGAGAGAAAAAAAAAAAGATACGGTGAGACTAAAAGCCAAAGATGGCCCCTTTACAGAAGTAAATAAAGGAAATTTCAGATTGCTGACATTTTTATGTATACTCCACTTTTATTGGTGAACGTGTTAGGAGAAAATGGAAGCCGAGTAAATAAAGTTTGACATCTATATATATAATATATATATATATATATATGTGTGTGTATGTATGTGTGTGTATGTATGTGTGTGTATGTATGTGTGTGTATGTATGTGTGTGTATATATATATATATGTGTATGTATGTGTGTGTATATATATATAGATATATAGATATATAGATATATATAATTAAAAAAATGCTGCACTCCCTGAAATTCTCCGATAACTGCCCGGTGCTGATCGGCAAAATTGTAAGTATAAAAGTAGATAGCACTCCAAGGTCTCTTTTCAATAAGAATTAACTTTTAATTTTCCAAGTATAAAAATCGACGTTTCAGTCTGAAGATTCAGACTTTCATCAGGACAAGGTTAAACATTACATTGCACATCCATATATACCCACACCACATCAACAATAATCAAATACACTTACCCCACCTGGATAGAGGCATCCCATCACGAGCTGCCCGGTCCGTGTTCGCGCTGAAAATGCTGGTCGCGTTTTGATGACATCATGCCGCATGCGTCAATCACGTGCCCGGCCGCTCGTCAGGGGTATCCATGGAAACTGGACGCTCATGCTTTATGGTTAACCCGAACCTGATCTACATGCCTCTATTCTCCAAGTTTCCCAAGACAAGTCTACATCAAATCTATTAAAAAGAAATAGTAATTGTAAATTAAAAATTTAAAACATTAAACCCAGCTGGAGGTATCTAAAGGATACAGGTGTCTATGGGGGCACTATTGTACCATAGAAAAGAAGACACAATAGCTACTGAAGATAGGAATTATCACTGTCATGCTTCTTAATGTCCTAACAGCATATATGCCACTGGAAATCCGACCAAGAGCTATAACCAAAGTGTGAATAAAGTCATTATATTGAGTCACTATTAAATGTTTCTCTTATTAGAATAAATTTATATTTACATATTTACACAACCCCATCGAAATACCGGTTGCTCCATTATATTAAAAGGACAGTTACTGCTATCATATCACTCTGACCTTGCAACCTTACTATCACATGAACCAAATTCTATCAATTGTAACCAAAGGTTCATACAGTCAAAATCTCATTTTCATGTAATATCAGGCCGTATTTCTCCAAAGAAATCTACCTAAAAGAATATATTTAAATCATCGCCATTCTATAAGCAACAAGAGTGAACTAATTCTCAGATAGTCATAATTACCCAATATATATCTCACCTATGGACAATCATGCGACTATAAGTTGATACATATCCTACTAAGCCCAAACGATATTTTCTTAAAAAGAAAGTGGGTTGATAGTCTAATATGTGACTTAGTAATTTATATGACATATGTTACTCTTCCATCATATAAGTACTGATATTCCCTGGCCTTTCCCCAAGGGTTGGCTCTTGGTTAAATCAGGACTCATCAGGAGTCATTGTAAGGATGTCTAGAATACATTATGGTGTTCTTTTCCTAGAGAAAGACTGATAAGGAATATTTTTCATTCAGTCCTTTTGGTGCAATTGTTTCCAGTGTTCTAATCCAATAGATCTCTCTTTTCTTCCGGTCCGCCCCTCTTCTTGGAGGTGGGATCTGGTCAATCGCCATTAGTTTCAGTGATGGAAGGGCATGTCCTGCTTCCAAGAAATGTCTAGCCATGGGTAACTCAGAGGCATTATCCCGGTAAGCCACCCGAATACTGGAACGATGATTGCGAATTCGTTCTCTTAACGGCAGATCGGTTTTGCCTATGTATGCCAGGCCAAGAGGACACGTCAATTTGTAGATGACAAAGTCGCTGGTACACGTCAATCGATGTTTAATAGTGAATTGTTTGCCTGTGTGGGGATGTGAAAACGTACGGCCTGGGACCATATGTCCACAGGTAACACATCCCAAGCAACGGTAGCAACCAAAATTGCTAGTGACTGTTTTAGTTTCATAACAGTGATTGGGATCCGTTTTGACTAACAGGTCCCTCAGACTTCTGTTCCTCTTATAGCTCATCATTCGTGGGACAGAAAACTCATTAGGAAGGGAGGTATATTACTGAGCACCCGCCAATTCGCATTAATAGATCTTCTCAGTGCCACAGAGGCGGTATTGTAGACCGTTGGAAAGACTAGTCATTGGTTCTTAATATCAGGTATGGTTTTTGTATGGTGGCATCTATGTAAGGCACTATTTAGTGTAGATTTCTTGTACCCACATTCCAGAAATTTATCCCACATGGTGTTAATTTGTTCTTGAGCTCTCTCAGGTTCCGCGTTGTTCCTGTACACCCTTAAAAATTGCGAGTAAGGCAAAGATGTTTTTAATGGGTTTGGGTGAAAGCTCGTAGCATGTAGGAGTGTGTTTCGGTCGGTGGGTTTGGTGAAGAGAGTATACATAATTTTATTGTCTTCAATGCTCACCCTCACATCCAGAAAATCAACAGTTGTTGGGCTGGCAGTCATTGTCAGCTCAATGTTAGGACTTGCCATATTAATTGAAGCTACCATATCAGAAGCAGTGCAAAGGTCTCTGTTTATGATGAAAAACAGATCATCGATGAATCTCGCATACATCAGTATCTTAGCTTTAAATGGTTCCAAAATATGTTCCATCTCAAATCTGTACATGAAGCAGTTCACATACATGGGGGCCATCGCCGCCCCCATCGAGGTACCTGCCACCTGGCGATACCAGCTTTTTTCAAAATGAAAGTAGTTACAGGTTAATACCGCTTCAAGAAGTTCCATTGTATATTCAATAGGTGGACCTTGATAATACGGTGATTCAGTCAGAACTTGTCTTGCTGCTGCTATACCTTCACAATGAGGAATCACCGTATATAGACTTTTGACATCACAAGTCAATAGCATAACTGGTTCAGAGGGTAATTCAACAGCTGAGACCCGTTGTAAAAAAGAAGGTGTATCCTTCAAGCATGTCGTTAGATTAGCCACTTTCATAAGGAAGTCCAACCATTGGGCTATTGGTTCTAAAATTCCTTGTTTAGCCGACACAATTGGCCGTCCCGGGGTTTTTTCTAAATTTTTGTGTACTTTGGGTAAAGTATACAGAATAGGAGTCCTGGGATTCGGCTGTGTCAGGAACTCAAAAAGTTCAGTGGTTAGATAGTTGGCCTCCAAGCCCCTTTTGAGTTTTTCAACCAAATGGCATTGCAGTTGTGACGTGGGGTCCTTGGGAATCTGAGAATATGTCTGTCGGTCTGATTGCTGTTTAAGAATTTCATCCCGATAATCAGTATAGTCCAGCACAACTATGCCTCCCCCCTTGTCAGCAGGTCTTATCACTATTTTTTCATCATGGGACAGTGATGTAATGATTTGTCTCTCTGGTCGTACAGTTGGAATGCACCTTTCGCTGTGTTTTAAAGATATCTTTAGCTTCTTTATCCACTGAGCGTAGAAATGTTTTAATCGTGGCCTGATTAGACATTGGGTCAAACATGCTCCTTGGTTTAAATTTTGTTCGTTGATCAATGCCTGTAGATGGATAGTTTTTAAAGAAGTCTTTCAGTTGCATGGTGTGTCCAAATTTAAATAATTCAGTTTCCCATTGGAGTTGGTTGGGACCAGTTGTTGGAACAAAAGATAGGCCTCTGCTGAGTAGTCTTAATTCATCAGGGAGGAGTTTCCTAGATGAAACATTAAATACCGGTATCATTGTTGAAATCGTGGAGGTTTCCCTCTTCCCCCAAAAGGTTCTCCCCTTCTGGCCACGTCTCGTGACGAGCCTCTTTCTTGTACCTGATTTCTGTATTGGTTCCTGGTTTGTATCCCTGAGTATTCTATTTGTGTCTCTTCTAAAAAAGGCACAGTGCTGGTGTTCCTATCGGGTTGGGTATCTGACTCCGAATTAGACTCGCCCGAGGTTTTATCAATAGTGAATTGCCTTGGTTTGCGTATGATTCTGCGTTTTCTTGCAAATCTCGGACGTTCACTATGTCCACTCAACCATCTGTATACCGTGTGTTCCTTATAGTCAGCTGCTACCTTTTCTTGTCTTTCTCTCTTAAAGCGTACAAGATCCGTTTTGTACTGTTTAACATTGTCTTCCAATTTTAAGAGAGTCGGTGCGGCTTCTACATATGATAAGAGTAATGTCTGTTGTGTCTCTAGTTCCATAATCTTTCTACGTATCTGTACCAGGTCCTCTCTTACGTCTTCGATAATGACCAGCATTAGGTCAAGTGAGCATTTGTTCAGTAAACAGGCTCTCAATGTTACTGGAAAACTGTTCATTTTGAACTCTTCATATAAGCTTATGTATTGGAAAAACTAAGGAAACCAGTACTAAGTAAACAGTAAAACCAAACGGGTAGATCACCAGATGTTGTAGAACTTCAGCATTGCAAATGACCATGGTAGTTTCACAATATTATTCCTCCTAGGCACAATTGGAATAAGACAATGTCACATATCAAATATATCTAATTTCATGGCAGTAGAATGTGATGATATGTTTGACTATGTTTGAAAGTGTTGGACCATACCTATAAGTATGGAAATATGTGCCAATGTCGTTTATATGGATTTTAAGAAAGCCTTTGTCACAGTACCAAAGGATAAATAATTTGTTTAAAGGGACACTATAGTCACCAGAATCATTCCCTTCAGGCTTTTTGCAGTAGACACTGTCTTTTCAGAGAAAATGCAGTGTTTACATATAGCCTAGTGATAACTTTACTGGTCACTTCTCAGATGGCTACTAGAAGTTCTTCCTGGGAAAGTGCTGCACAGTTTGCAGCACTGACATTGTGTCCTCACCCTCTGCATGGAGACACTGAACTTTCTCATAGAGATACATTGATTCAGTGCATCTCTATGAGGAGATGCTGATTGCCCAGATCTGTGTTTGACTTGTGCTGGTTCTGCCCATGATCTGCCTCCTTGACAGTCTCAGCCAATCCTATGGTAAAGCATTGCTATTGGCTTTTGTTCAATAATTCTGATAATGTCAGCCAAGAGGGCAGATCAGGGGCAAAGCCAGCAGCAGAAGACTGGAATGCAAGTAATATTTTACTATATTTAGGGGCCAGGGGGCTATATGTTTTTAACATTATATGGTCAGGAATAAATGTTTGTGTTCCTGACCCCATAGTGTTCCTTTAAATGCACACCTCAGATCACTGTGATGAACAAAGCATTTTCATATGAATTAATTACAGTGCTTTAAGTGGATCAATCCTTTTTATATACATTTATTAGTGACACTTTGGATACTCTAGAAGGCAAAGCATATTTTTTTTTTTTTTATGTACTGAGGGCACAAGGAGGCCCTTTAAATCATATTTCCCAGGGGCCCTGTGAGTTTTCACTCTGCCAAATGGGTAACAATTACTTTCACTATACTATTGTGTAGCAGACCCCGGGTAACCTGACCGGTTACCTCTGCTAATTCCTTCCTTCAGCTACTCTGGAACCCTTAAAACAAGCAGGCATCCCTTTCTTCCAGTAACTGGACGAGACACAGCTCTGGGAGTTCAACTGAAAATGAACTGTTTATTTTGGCACACAATGTTTTACAGACACAGACCCCTACATGGGATCTCCAACACAATACACCAGGGGTTTCAATCCCAAGAACCTGATGGGGGATGGAAGAGGGACAAAGCAGCTACTTCAAACTCGGCTGGCAGTGTCCCTGAGACAACGCCCTGCTAGGACAGGAAGAGGGACAGGCACAGGTGCAGGTGGTAAGTACTTCCGTTACTTCGGCAGGAGCAACGTTCGTGGCTAACAATGCTTTTTCGAACATTTCAAGATCTTCTGTGGAAGCCAAGCATGGGCAAGAATAACGGCTTATATGTAGCTTTTTAGGCTGGCATGCAGTGTATACAGGGTGGTGGAAAGAAGTACCCAGTCGGAGAGCTGGAGGTCTAGGAGGACGAACAGGGCAAAGTGTGATGAAATGCCCTCTTTCTCCACAGTAGTAACATAGGCCATGGCTTCTCCTTCGGTCTCTTTCCTCAGGTGTCACTTTGCAGTGAACAAGTCCTAATTGCATAGGTTCCTCAGGGTCGAGTGGAACACAGGATACCTCAGGAGTTTTCCTAGGAACAGGATCAGAAGGAGACATCACTGGGGTGTAGTGGTGGTACTGGGTTTCTTGGTTACAAAGAATCTGAGATTTTTTGGTACGTGGAGCTGGCTTGGTCACAGTGGTCTTGCATTGTGAGTCCATAGCGGTACTGAAGGATTCCCAGCTGACAAGGACAGGACTCTTTGTCTGCAACATTTGGTGAGCCCATACTTTGATGCGTCCAGACAACAGGTTGATAGCCGCTCGGACCTTGATGAAATCTGTGGCATATGTTCGAGGCTTTAAAGAAAACAACACCTCACAATCCATCTTAAAGGACTGAAAGGATGTGCGGCTACCATCAAAACGGTCGGGCATGATCACAAACGGTTCAGGATAAGCTGGTTCCGGGGCTGGACGTACTGCGCCTTTAAGAAATAAAATTTCTTGCTGCAACTCCAAAACAGTCTGGGCCAGGCTGGACACTGGTTGGGACAGGGGTGAGCACATCTCTGCGGACTCCATATGATCAAGTCTTATGTCAGGGTCTTACCTGGGTTGGGAGTCTGTAGCGCAGATATGTTGCTCACCCTTGCAGATAGCCACAGGCCAAGGTGGTCAGGTAAGAATTCACCCGGCCTGTGGGTCTGTGCACGGGGGCTGTGCAGGATGAAGTACCAAGTCGCAGGACAGGCAAGGACTCAAACAGCAGGATCGTCAAAGGATAGCCGAGGTCAAAGGATGCCAGAAGACAGGAACAACGAGGAGTAGCCGAAGTCAAGGGATGCCAGAGGTCAGAGTAAACGTAGTCAGAAGCCGGGGTCAATAACAAGTAGCAGTTCAAACAACAGGAACACTGGTACAAAGCACACAACAGGATCAAAGACTTGATGCTGATCACAGGGCGAGGCTGAGTTTAAATACCCTGCTAATGTCTGATCAGGTTCAGGTGCAGCACAGCCAAATTCAAGGTACAGCCCCCAGAGTGATAGACAAGCCAGGATGAACAGGACCGGAATGACTTGCAGAATACAAAAGCTGCTGTGGCTCAGAGGTAGGAAGCAGGACCAGGAATGCGAAGTTCCCCGGTTCAAGTCCCTTGTTGGGATCTCCACGGGTGACCACGTCTAGCCGTCTGTTTGATGTGGCGAGAACCGTGACAGGGGGTCTAATGTGACTGGAAAAGTGGGTGGGCACATGTGGGCATGGTACTCCGTGACGACATTCCGTCACACATCTCCCACACCTCCGACAGCCACAGCCTGACCCACATGGACCCCCCCAGAGTCCACAGTCCAAGTCCTTGGGGGTCTAATGTGACTGGACAAGTGGGTGGGCACATGTGGGCATGGTACTCCGTGACGGCGTTCTGTCACATGTAATCAAACATTTTCAACAAAAAATTTACAGACTTTCAGCTTGAAAGCAATGAACAAATCATACAAAGGCAATTGAAATAGCTCAATAGCTCAATTACTCAACACAAGAAATACTTCAAATGCTTTCCCCAAATTCAACTGAAAATTCAAGTTTTAATGACTTGTCATTGCAATCTGCTGAAAGTCATGAATAATCCTGATTTTCAATAGGGGTTGAATAATTGTGGTCACAGCTGTAT